GTGGTCTTGTGATTTGGACTTTCTGGGTCAGTGATCTTGTATTTTTTCTGGCAAAGGTATATTGTGTGAGTATGATGCAAATTCTCTCTGCATCTCATATATCTCTGTGGATGGATTTTAGCATTACTCTGGTTTACTATATGGCTTTCTTTTGCAGCATCAAGCTTTTTACAGCTTGCTCAGCCATTGGATTATTGGTACTTCTCCCTGTCAATTATACCAGTGAACATGAACCAACAAAAACATTATCTCATTCTATGGATTCATTTACTATGTCCAACATTGGAAGAGGTTCCAATAGGTGATGTTTCCTTCTTTGTGTAATGGCAGTTTATTCTTTGTATAGCAGGATTATTAATTTGTTGCAATTGTCTAATGCCTAGTTCTCAAAATTGTAGACTGTGTTATGGGACTTATGACTCAAAGATATACAGATTATTGCCACCAATGCAGGATTTTGTGTGGTTATGTGAGAATTGTGAAAATAATCAAATGATTCAAATTCTTACTTATGATATGCAACTTGTTATTTGTTTGTTTCTGCTTAGTTGTGTAATGGTATAAATGAGGAAGTGTAATCCACTAAGACCAAGAAAGAACCTCAGCTATGCTACAAAAGATTCATTACAATGCCAAACATTCACAATTTATGCTATTCCTTTGAAATTGAGTCCCCGAGGTACCATAGGTTAAGAGCTAATCCAGATGCTCCAAAGTTCAATAGCTTATTTTCAATGTTCATTATCTTTAGTGTGTGCCAAAACCCGAAAGGCCCGATTTGTAAAAAGGATGATGAAAGTTAATGAGGCTTAAATGTTGTGTCTGGGTGCTTTTAGTGCAACAAATAAACTAGAAACAAGGAGGGTACAGTGAAACATTATGGAATGATATTCATGGCACAAAAAGAACGAACTGATGAAATATTCCCTTAGAAGCATATGCTAAAAGCTTCTTCTCCAGGAGATTGAATAATGATCTTTCTTTGCCTTTTGGTTAGATTATAACAATCTTCTCTTTATAATAGATTAGGCAACTTGTAGACATTTTAAACTCAATTAATGGACCGCATTTGACTCTTAGGGGTTCATGTAGCTTTTCATATCAAACACTTGTAAATCACAGGAAATTGTTTGATGTCGCATCAATTAGGCCTTGTTTTTCTCTTTTCTATGCTCCTTCTTTACTTGCAAAGGGGTAGGTCTTATTTAGGAAAGGATTTGTGCAAAGACAATATTAGCGTTCCAAAAAATTCTGGGCGGTGCCTAGGCAGTTATGGGGTCCTGGCCGCCCAGCACCTAGACAAGCACCCAAATGTTTGGGCGGTCTAGTACCTAGGTTGAAGAAGAGGGTAGGGGAATATGATTATACAACATAAAATATTAAAAATCTCACAATCCAAAGTTCCAAACCATTATAAATTTGTACTAGACTACTAGCACAACCAAAAATAAAATATAATAGTAAAATAGTAATGCAGGCACAATCCATAATCCACACTTTGTATACCATACTCCATGCTCATAGTCCATACCATTCCACAATCCATAGTTCCATACAATGATATAACCATACAGGCATGTGCATAAGAGTAGAAAATAAGAAAATAAAAATATACAGTCTAAGACTCAAGAGTAAGGAGTCTTCAGTCATCATGCAAAAAAGTGGTGTAAATCTCATCATATGAATCAGAGTCATGTCCATCATCGTCAAAGTTATCTTTCTCTTCAACATAACGCTCGTCCTCCTCTGTTTCTTCTGAATCTGTCTCTTCCTCCTCTTTATCCCCCTCGTACTCTGTGCAGATGATCTAGAGGCCCAGGAGTGTTGGTGGCTCTACCTGGTGCCTTTTCACCATTTTTTTGCTTTTTCTATTTTACTGAAGTAATTGAAAATTGCTTAATCTCCTTCTTGGTAGCCTCAAGAACACTTTTACAAGGGGCAACATCCCCCTTAATACCAGCGAGGTGTTTCTTGAACCGATAAATATCCCTATTAATATTATTTCCACAATAATTACTCCGTATGCAATTCATATTATTTGGATTCGAGTTGTGACCATACTTCCAACCCGGATCACCACTTCTAGAAGAACTTAAAGAAGATATTTTCATATTAGCAAGGCTCCTTTTCTTCCTTTCCTGGTTTTACCAAAGTCAAATATAGTTTAATCTCATCCTTAGCAACTGCAGGAGCGTTTTTACAAGAAGCAACATTTTTTTTAATATTGACAAGTTGTTTATTGAATCGGTTAATACCTCTATTGGTATTTTTTTCACAAAAATTACACCTTATACAATTTTTATCATTCGGATTCATCATAACCATATTTCTAACCCAGATCAACACTTTTAGAAGACCTCGAAAGAGACTTATCCAAATGACAAGGCTCCTTTTGTTCCTTTTTGTGTTTTATCAAACTCATACATTGCTTAATGTCCTCTCTGATAGCTTCAGGAACAATTTTACAAGGGACAACATTCCCCCTAATACTGGCAATGTGTTTTTTGAACCAGTTTACACCCCTGTTAGTATCGTTTCTACAATAATTATATATCACACAATGTTTGTCATTTGGATTATAACCATAGTTCCAAAACCTGGATCACTGCTTTTAGAAGAATCGGAAGAAGACATTGAAATAACAAATAAAAATATCAAATATGAAGATTTTTAACTAACCTTTTTGCTCAATCTTCAATCTTTAATGTTTGAGATGTTTCCCAATCTCAAATAGTTTCAGAAAACCTTTAATAAGCTTAAAACATCTACAAAAATCAATTTCAAACCAAAAGAACAATGTTTGGATGGTTTTTCAAAACTCTGAAATACACTATTGATCTCATAAAAATTCAAAAAAGTTTTTATTTTATTTTATTTTATTTTATTTTTTTAATTTTTTTCCACTCCAAGGTAAACAAAGATGTTTAGGTCGTACAAAAATCTAAATCCCGTTTTCCCCCTTATTTAGGGGAGAAAAGGATGAAAATGCTCCTCAATGAGGGGCGTTTTTGCCGCTGGGCTGGGCGCTGTCCATGTGAACCTAGGCGAGTACCTAGGCGCCTATGTGGGTGCCTAGGTGGCCACCCAGGCAGCCTTCCTAGGCTTGGGCGATGCGCCCAGCCCCTCTGGCCTCCCTAGGCGCTAGGTGGGCCGCTTTTTGATACACTAGACTATATAGATTGGAAATGTGAGGCATAGGGGCTCATTGAAGGGGTTTCTACAAAAAATACAAAATGATTTTGTTTTTGGTTTTTATTTTTAAAGTAATCTGCTGATGGGCATCATTGTAACTCTATTTGCCAAGCTCTAACCCTTTGAGTTATAATTTTGTTTTCTTTGAAGAAAGTTAATGATAGTAGTAAAATTAAGAAGCATTACAAGAGAGGGTATGGTCTCACAGGTTGGATGCTCTATTCATTTGCAAACGTGAGATTTGTGTACTGATCTCTATACAAAAAAAGGTGGATAACCTTTTCTATCACAGTGGACACCAAAAAAAAGTAGGACCACAACTCAAAACGGTGCCAAAATGGTCCCACTGTTAGTTCCAAAAGTTTGATGCCTTGAGAGCTATGGTTATTTTGAGAGGTTCTAAGGATTCAAAGGTGATAAAGTGCTTGGTCTGAATTCATAAATGAAGGGTTTGATTTGTTTGAATGAAGTCTTAAAAGTATCATCATAGTGACATGTTGCTTAATGATTATAGCAAATTAAACAAGTGCAATGCCTTAGCTTCCTACTCCGATCTCTAGATAGGGCTTTTAACAACTTCATGGATATCATCTTGATTTGAGAAGCTAATTATCAGTTTCAGAATTTTCTACATCAGAATTCAGGTGTCTGGAAGGCCCTTTGACCTCGTTTAACTTTACCTTGAAATTTTAGTAGTTGAGTTTCTCAGATGAAAGTCTAGCTTTCTAACTAAGAAAGTAAAATCTGAATGTTTAAGCTCTCTTTGGTTCATAAGAAATTTTCTTCTCTAAGTTTTAGGCGTGCTTGGATTCGAAATATGACACTATCATTAGTTAATGGCATTTTGATTCTTCTATGTTTATGGCGTTTGTTTGGTTTTAAATATTGGAGTCTGGGTTTTTGTGGTGATCTGGGCTGGCTATTGCTAGTCAAGGGGTATCTAGGAGCGCTTGAACAATCTTTGATATTTGGAGGTCTTTGTGGTTTAGGATGGTTTCAAATGTAATGCTGATACCTTTATCCTTGCTGGAAATCCGTTTCAAATGTAGTGCTGATACCTTTATCCTTGCTGGAAATCCTTTTTTTAGGTTATCATCTCCAAGGAAATTCATTTAAGTTGTTGAGTCACAATGATTATATGGGAATCCTAATGAGTTTTATGGGAATTTTAGGCTTGTAGTGCTCTGAAGATACATAATCAAGGAGGGGGAAAATTGATGTTGAAGATTTTAAAATGTTATCGACATGATTTAGGATGTCAACGGAGTCCAAGGTTGAGCTAATAGTGGAGTATTATAGTTCCATTTTCATATTAGTCGTCATCATCATCATCATAGCCTTTTCCCAATTAATTGGAATCACTTACACAAATTCTGGTTTGCCATTCTGCTCGATTAAAGGCCATACCCTCAATGAGGCCATAAGTCCTCATATCTTTTTGGACTACTTCCAACCACGTCCTTTTGGGCCTACCCCTTACCATTTTCAGTCTTTCCACTTGAACTAACTCGCACCTCCTAGCAAGTGTTGTACTTGGTCGGCACCACACATGGCCCTCCCACCTATGTCTTCTCTCTCTCATCTTATCGCCTTTTGGTGCCAAACGTAAATTCTCCCTAATGGATTCATTTCGAATTCTATCCCTTGTCCTCCCACTCATCCATCTCAACATCCTCGTCTTTGCTACATTCATTCTATGGGTATATTGTTTTTTGTCCACCCAACTTTCCGTCCCATAGAGCAAAGCTAATCTCACAGTTGTCCTGTAGAACTTGTCCTTCAACTTCATTAGTATGTGGCGATCACATAAAATTCTAGTTGCACATTTCCATTTCGCCCACTTAGCTATAGTTTTGTGTGAAACATCTTCCTCAATCTCTCAATTTTCCTAGGTTATCGACCCAAGATATCAAAAGTTTGTACTTCCTGGCTGTCAATCTTAACTACTTCCCAATCTCTACTCCTATTATTACTAAACTTGCATTCCATATACTCTATCATAGTCTGACTAATTTTTAAAATCATTGGATTTTAGAGCATCCCTCCAAAGTTCTAACTTTGTGTTGATGTTATTTCGGGTCTCATTGATCAAAACTGTGTTATCTAAGAACAACATACACCACAGTACCTTATCCTATTGGTGCCTAATTAAGTCGCCCATACCTAAGACAAAGACGTACGAGCTCAATGCTGACCCTTGATGTAAACCTATTGTCATTCAAAGCTCACTTGTCTCTCCACTAGTTGTTTGTACACTAGTTAACGCTTCAGTGTATGTATCTCTCACCAAGTCGATGTAGTGTCTGGAGATTTCTTTCTTTTCCAACACCCGCCAAATCAAATCTCGATGTATTCCATCATATGCTTTCTGTAGATCAATAAAGACCATGTGGAGGTCATTTCCCTTCTCCTTAAACTTCTCAATCAATTGCCTAAGTAGGAAATTAGCCTCAGCTTTTGACTTTCTTGGCATAAAACCAAATTGGTTTTTAGATACACTCGTTTCATGCCTTAATCGTTGCTCAATCACTCTCTCCCAGAGTTTCATAGTATGGCTCATAAGCTTGATCCCTCGATAGTTCGCACAATTCTATATCTCTTTTGTTCTTGTAAATAGGCACCACAATACTTTTTCTCCATTCGTCTGGCATTTTCTTTGTTCTCAACACCTTGTTGAACTGCTACGTCAGCCCGTTGATGCCAATCTCCCTCATGAACTTCCAAACCTTTAGTGGGATACCATTTGGTCCTAAAGCCTTTCATATCTTCATCCTTTTTAAAGCTTCTTTCACTTTTGACATCCTAATCCTACGATGTAATCATAAATATTTTGTGGCCTGTTATTATCTTCACCTAATAGGTGCCATCCAAGGACCATTCTTGTATATATCATTATTACTAGATCGCTGTAGCCTTTACATATCCATTTACTGTAGAGATTGTAGAAGAGGAATCCTTTGGTTAAGAGTCAAAGTATATGACGCCATTAGAACATGTAGTTTTACCTGAAGTTCTTTAAATTCTAAATGAAATTCTTATATGTGTATTTGAAATACTTGATATAGTGGAATACAAAGATGAAATGCATTATGAATTTTCTTTATTTATTCTTGTTTCATTAGTAATTTACAATAATATTTATGTTAAAAAATGTAACTTATCCAAATTATGGAAAAAGTATGTATAGGTTAAAAAATATATGTATCATTCTTGTTTCATTAGTAATTTACAATAATATCTATGTTAAAAATGTAACTTATCCAAATTATGGAAAAAAAGTATTTATAGATTAAAAAATATAGGGATCGTGCTTTCTAGTTACATGCCTGAGCCAACTTGCTTTTGCGGGCTGACCAATTTATGCTATCAGTATACTTCATAAAATAAGAATAAGAAGTAATAGTTTACCTTGTTTGTTGTGAAGTGCATCTTGTTTTGCTTTCTAGGATTTATAATGCAAATTGTATGATAAAATCCATTGTGAAGTCATTCCATTGTTTAAATTACTTCTGTTCTGTAAATTATTTAGTTACATGCACATACGAATCATTATGTATTGAGCTAAATTAACTTCATAGTATAAATGTATAACCTTTCTAATAGCTGCAGTACGCTAGATAATCTTCATATCTCTTAACCTATTTTAATGTTTTACAGGTTATGGGTGCATTTTTTCTGCCTATATTTTATTTCATTTTACAGTTACTACCTATTGTATCAGGTAAGATTTCCTTATATCTTGTTTAGTTATTTATAGAATAAAAGTATGTACCATTAGGAAGCATTTGACATCAACATTTGCTTGGAATGCTTGGAGTGCTTTCCAAGCTTTGTTTAAGTATAACATGTACACAAGGGAAATATTAGCTTGCTAAGCTTGAAAATTTTCTTTTAATTTATTGTTAAAATTGATATTCAACCTCAAATATTTAATGTATTCTGAAATTTGACCAGGATTATTCTTACCGATTTATTGGTCTTCATATAGCTGTAAACTTCACTATAAGATGTGTTTGCATAATTTGTCTCGTTTTTTCTCGGTGATTCTTCGTAAGAATAGTGGAAACTCAGTGGGAAAGCATGAATGATGTGTATTTCATTGCAGGTTTTACAACGTTCTTTGTCCGAAGTCTTTGATGGAATTTTGATTGTTTATACTTTATACTCCACGATAAGCTGTGTGAACAAAGTGTTATCTCTTGGATACTTATTTTGTTTGATAATAATTAGGTTGATGGTAGTATTGACAATCTGGAGATCAGCATAATGATCATCATTTACCATATCTTGTTCTTGTAGCCTATTTGTGTAGCATTTCTTCTTTTTAAACTAGTTCATCGTTATAGCAAGTGGTCGGGTATGATATAGATGCTTACATTCTGCAAATCTTGAAGAAGTGCCGCCCTGTGGTTCTATTTTGCATTTTCATCTTATGGTAATTTCCTTATGATGATTTTAGTTCCTCCTCATTGACATGAGGCATCTACTTAGTGCCTACCCATTGACATGAGGAGCCTACGTAGTTGGCTAATGTATGCATTTATTTGTGAACCTTACTTTGTAGAGTACTTCTTACATTTGATGGTTGGCACATTGATGAACCTGTGGTAGCTTTTGTGGCTTGAATGGATAGCATCTCATGATGATAGTGAAAAATCAAGACAAACAAGATTGAAGCAGAGGCATCAGCCAAACATGATGTAGTCCTTGTAGGGTACAGTAATCGAGTGGTATTAGGCCTTGAGGTACATCATACTTTCTTTGAGATCACTTATTTGTGTTAGCATGCATGTATCATATTTGAGGTAAATCTTGAAATTCCCTTGAGCTGCACATTGCAACCATAGTAAGGGAGGTTAGCTTGGATCACATGAAGGACGAACTTCAAGATTCAAACAGTTCCCTCAATAATCAAGTCTCACACCATTAGATGTGGAATGCTTCCTTTGGAATGTGTATCTTATCACAGAGGCATCTGTACTATTGCAACCCCTTGAATGTATACAAGAAATACTGCATGGGTTGGGCAGGCACACAAGATCACTTTACTTGGGTCCTCATGCAATTTTGTTTTTCGATATAGTGATCTGATGTCCGTATTGAATACATTCCTGGATTTTTGGATTTGTGCTGCTTACACGAGCTTATAGTAGTTGTTCATTTTCAGACCTAAATGAAGCATTACTATAAAAATTTAATAACTTAGAATGGTTTTTTCATTACGAAAACATTGTAGCTTCGGAAATTTCAATAGTACTCTCTCTCTCTTTCTCTCTCTCTCTGTATTTTAGTTCTCTTGTTTTTATGCATGAACTCTCTTGGTGTAAATTTCATTTCCCCTTTTATTGGTTGCACCCTTTATCCAAATTCTTAACTTCTCTTAGCTTAAACCCTCACTCTCTCTCACGCAAACACATGCATACACACATTTCCGCCTGTGAACGCATACTCGCACACACGCACACAGTCCTTCTTTTGCCTACATTTGCTAATACCACCATGTATCCTCTCTTTTTTCATTAAGTATTATCTATTTCTCTCCATTCCATTGTCTTATTTTCTCTCCCCTCCCCCCCCCCCCCACCCATCTTCTAATTTTTCCCCTTGTACTAATTGTCCATGTGTGCATTGTGTTTTTTCCTGCTTTGTAGAAGAAGGAATCATGTAAAATGCTGTTGTTTCTAGTGAACTGTTTCCCATGAGCAACACATATTACATCAAGAGTTTTGTTCTCATCCAGTCGTGCACCTATGCTGTTTCTGATGTCTACTGACAGTGATAAGATCCTTGAATTCCATTCCTTGAAGAGTAAGGCACATGGGGCATTAGGATTATGGTTCCAAAAAATGCTACAAATCCAGATTGATCCGAAATGCCTTTATTTAGAATAATTAAGGACTTGATTGTAATAAACCCTGTCAACAAAATCAGAAAGATTGGTCTCATCCTCTTAGAAGCAATGGACTTGGATCAGTGAGAAACTTAGAGTGTCAATATGCTTTTCTATGAGAACCTTAAAATAAATGATCTATTTAACAACCTAAAGCTTTTAAACCAAAGGGGGTAATTTGAAGAGCTTTAGAGAAGGTTATATGCGTGCTTGTCACTGAGGAACCATGCAACTGGAATAATGTTTTTCTGACAAAAATTTGATATTGAAAAGTGTGAAAATGAGATAGAAACCTCACTAAGGTGAAAGTGATGTTAACCTTACATGAATGAAAAAGTTAATCTTTTCTCAAAGAAAAAAAAAAGTAAAACCTTACATGAATGAAAAAATGTAAAGTTAAAGAAGACTTAATGATGGTTAATGGGTATACAGGATCACATATAATATGATCATCTAAGGACTAAACAAATTTATTGGGCTCATATTATAACATGATTTATGTTTGAGGAAAAGTTTATCTAATCTGTCATTTAATATATGAGTTCAGAATGCTGTGTAAGTTATTTATTAAAATTCGATGCCCCATATATGAATTTATAATGTAAGACGTTTCATGAAAGATATCCTACTTTGTTGCACTTGGTTGTACATATTTAACCTATATTTGGACATACTACATATTTTAAGTGCCAGAATAGTCCCTTGTAATACATCTATATGTATTTGTATTTGTTATTGTTTTCTTGTTACTATGTTTTGAATTCACAATCCAATTTTTCAATTCCTCATATTTAGGAATACAAGAACATCTTGACCAGAAGGATTGAGTGGCTCAATAAGGATTGCTCTCGGCCTGATCAATTTACTGTAATTGTTCGGGAAATTCCAGTTTGTACGGAACACCATGATCTTGGATGCTGTGTAGACCATTTTTTCTCTAAACACCATCCATTTACATACCAATGGCATATGATGGCATATGATGGGCAACACATTGAGGAGTTGATGGTAATCTTCTTTCCAGTTTTCAACTAGAACATGTGATACAAGTTGAGTTTTAAACCTAGCAGTTATTTGGAAATAGAATTTGTCATGTTTATTGTTGTGTATTACAATGATCTTCGGGAGTACTTTATTTCGTTTGATGTGTTCAATTGAAAGACTTCCTGTTTATTCAAAATCAAGACTTCTTGGCTTTCTAGAGTTACATCTTCCGCTAATTTTGTACAATTTGCATGAATAAATGAATGTTTGGATGCCACTGTTTGCAGCATGAGGCGAAACATATTGCCAAAAAGATAGAGCATTTGAAAAGAAAGGCTTTGATTAGGAAACGTACAAGGAGGCGAACATTTTGGGACTTCTTTGGTTACAGTGCCAATCAGATTGGTGCACATGAGGAATAGCTTCGAGATTTATGTCAAAGGATCCGCCAAATGCAAAGTGAAAGTATGCTTAAACAGAAGATGACGTTATGGTTGCTGTTTTTTGCTAGGCAAGCAACTTTTGACTAATCAAAGAGATCTAGGTTTGAAAAAATGAAATACGTATGTAAAACTCCAAGCTGAAATTTTGTATGCAAGAAGTATTTGACAACTTAAAAAGGTCATTTCATAGAAAACATCTTTGAACCTTGGTTGTTTGCCCCATAAATCACTTAAATAAGTATTTTCATTAGAAGTCGTGCATCTTTCTTTGAAGTTCTTCTTTTAGCAGTTGATTTAAATTGGATAAGTTGATCTTCAGTTTCATTTTGAATTTTCATTTTTTAATGGTTGTAGGAGTTGCCAGTTGCATTTGTATCGTTCAAGTCTCGTTGGGGGGCAGCCATTGCTGCACAAACTCAGCAATATGTAAATCCACTTCTTTGGATCACAGAAATGGCACCAGAACCTAGGGATGTATTATGGCACAATTTGGCTATTCCTTATGGGAATTTGGTATTTCACAAGATCGGGGTTTCTATTGCAGCTTCACTACTTACAATTTTTTTTGCTTTCCCAGTCACTGCTGTTCAGGGGATAGTTCAACTAGAGAGCATTAAGAAATGGTTTCCACCGGTTAGAGCTTTACAATTGATGTAAGCATGCTGGAGCATCTAATAATTTTTCCTCATTTATATGCTCATTTAATTGAGTCTAGTATGGATTATGTAAACAAGCTTAGGGCGTTTAACTTGTTTTTAGATCATGAAAAACCAATAACTTTTGGCAAAAAGGAGGTCACAAACAATCTTGACCATTGAATGTGAAATTGGGTGGCTGGGGTTGCCTCATTAACAATGCTCAAAGTTCAAAAGATAGTTTTTCAAAATTGGTGGCACTATGAAAATTGTCAAAATTGCACACCTGATGATTATCAGTGATTGAGACCCTCTCATACCAGAGGTAAATGGTCTTATGGTATGCAGACCCTTCTAATTTATGATAATGCTCTGAAAGGAGACCATCAGAAATCATGATTTTAAAATGAACTGGTGGTTAGGTTGTTGAAAATATACTTTTGCTACATAATTGGAGCTTAATACATCCAATTTTCTTAGTCTTCTGGAAATCATTTCCTTTTAATTTTTTCTAGGTAGATGTCGGTGGCTTCACATACTGTTATTGAAAGAGTACTACGTGGATCTGCAAGTGTGATGGCTTTATCAAATTAGAGGACAATATCTAGAGCATCCTTCCATGCTGGACTCTAAAATTTTATCCTTCACATATTTTATATGCATGACAGGAAATCCAATCAGATAGATAGCAGGCAATAAGCAATATCAGCTTAAAGTAACTATGGTAGAATGTCAAATTAATGCACAATTAATATTATAATTGGCCTCTGAGCTATTAATGAAAGAAAAAATGAACTAGTTCAGGTGGAGTGGTTTCAACGAAAATTTGCGATTTTAGTCATGTAAAAGATTGGGTAATCTGGTCTTTAGAACTAGTCAGGAAATCTAGTTGAATGTCATTCTCAGGAGCTGATTGCAACTCTCTGGTTTCTTGAATGATTTTGTCTGGTTTCTTGAATGATTTTGCAGACCAGGCTTAGCCTCTATAGTGACAGGATATCTTCCGAGTGTCATCCTTAACAGCTTCATTTATTGCGTTCCCTTTGCCATGCTTGGGTTATCATCTCTAGAAGGTTGCATGTCAAGAAGCAAAAAGGAGATCAAAGCATGCAGCATGGTGTACTATTTCTTGGTTGGGAATGTATTTTTCTTGAGCTTGCTATCAGGGTCATTACTTTATCAGATTGGGGAATCTTTCACACACCCAAGAAGTTTTCCGAGCCGCCTAGCCAGTGCTGTCTCTGCTTAGGTAAAGCTTAATTTTCTTGTAAAGTGTTTTACACTTGGCTTTTATGCAAAGATTTGCATTATTGGAACTGGCAGATTTGAGATATTATTCTCACCATTTTGGAAGGATTTTCAGAATAACAGTTGGCAAACCTTGAAATCATGAATTATAGATGAAATGCATTTGGGCTGGCAGGGAAGGGAAATTTCTTGTATTTCATTCACAATACCACATTGACAAGTCGACAAATATTTGTCTTGATCTTGCCCCAGAATCTGACAATCCTTGATGTCTTGCCAGTGTGGTTGCTAGTGTCTTGTGTAGTTATATGTCATGTGAATATTCATGCATGCTTGGAAGCCATGTTGTCATTTATTCATTTTTGTTTTTTAACCAACTTTATAGGCCTTCTAGTGATTTGTTAGACATTGAACATAGTTAACTTGTTTATAACTTTAATGATCACATCAGTAATTGAAATTAACTTTTTTTTTTTTTCTAACTTTTCTAGTTCTAGTGGTACTAGGAGCCTTTAGTCTTGGGAGTTATATGTATTTTCAACCCCTTGTTGTTTCATTGGATCTGTTGTTTTTGACGTAATAGAATACACAAGTTTCTCTATCAGAAATCTGAATTTTCATTTTCTTCCTCAGATTTCAGGTGGTTCACTTGGGGTTCCTCGGAACTCCATATTGAATATTTTGCATTCAAGCGCATTGAAGTCTGTTTGGGATTATATTTAGAGGACAATTTAAATACATATTTGATGATTTATTGTAAAATTATCAGAGGTTCTTGGAATCTTTCTAATTTTTGTAGTCTGATAATTTTGCAACCATCCTAAATTTTGAATTACTGAGATCAACAAGCATAGTATATGAGAAAATTTTTCTTGCTGGCATGATTTTGATTAAATACTAGTGTGTCATCACATTTTAAGAAGCCAAAAAGCTCTTCCAATATCAATATTAACGGATACTTGAACAGATATTCCTGTGTCATTATTCTGCTCCTTCAGGTTAGTTCCATTACTCTACCTTATGTTTAGAATTTATGATTCTCTTTTGATTATTTGGCTAATATGGGCACTTTGACAGTTGGAATAGTTTTTAAAAATTGTGAAAAAGACTAGCATTTTATGACTGATGTATTAAGAAGTGTAAGCCATTGAGGTAGTTTTCATAGTGTTTTAATAATTGATGTTTTCTTTTTCAAGCGGATTTCTTTATTACCTACATATTAACAGATGGACTCTCTGGTTTCTCGCTGGGAATTCTTCAGCCTGGTTTATTGATCTGGCACCTCATCACATCAAATTCATTGTGGCGAGGATCAAAGAATGAGCCATATCTTTTTTCTCTACCCTATTACAAAGTCCTTCCCACTGTTTCACTTTCTATATTGATTGGTTCAGTGTATGCCGTCGTTGCACCTTTGCTTCTTCCTTTTCTTATTGTTTACTTCATTCTTGGCTACATGGTGTACCTCAATCAGGTAATTCTCTCCCATTTTGGATGGCCACTTTTTGTATCATTTGTTCTGAAGAATGCAGTTCCTTTCCTGCATTCTTTCCTTATTCTTTGTTTTAGAATCTTTATAATGTTTCTATTGTTCTTCTCCTAGATTTATCTCTTACCTAGTTTGCTGATGGTAATGAAATGACTGTTACATTAACTTTCATAAATTTGTTATTAGTTGGTATTTAGGTTTACTTATGGGTCTGAACTTAACTTCATAGTGACATTACTTGTTCTTATTTTATTTGCAGATACAAGATGTATATGCAATTGTATATGAGACATGCGGACAATATTGGCCACATATCCATCATTATATTATCGTAGCTATGATTGTTACACAGATTACTATGATTGGTCTGTTCGGGTTGAAAGCAAAACCGTCAGCATCAATTTTAACAGTTCCACTCCTAATGTTAACCTTGCTGTTTAATGAGTACTGCAAAATGCGCTTTCTTCCAGCATTTTACAAATACTCCATTCAGGTAGTACGAATTCTTTTATTCTTATGTTTCATAAGGCTTTCCGTTGAGTTTTATTTGGCTTGTCTTTGGTGATGTAAATGATACACATGAAACAATATATTTAGTGGTACGATAACGTGTATGATGAGCTTGGTTAGATAATAAGAAGTTCAGTGTATATTTCGATAATGTTGATCATCATCATTATTGAGCTTTATCCCAGCCATTTACTACATGAATCATGTTCTGCCATTAAGCTCTATCAATGGCCATACCCTCAGTTAGCTATAAGTCACCATATCTCTTCTCACTACTTTCATCCATGTCTTTTTGCGATTTCCTTTTGTCCTTTTAGAGCCTCCCACCTGAACTAAGTCATCCCTCATAATTGGTGTTGTTCTTGGTCGATGTGGTCGACGTTACATATGGATAGATCATCCAAGTCTACTTTCCCTCATCTTATCGCCTATTGGAGCTACCCTATGTATTCTTTTTGAATTTTATGATTTTTTGTCTTTAATCATTAACCCATCTCAATATCCTCCTCTCAGCCATACTTATTCTCTAGATATGTTGTTTCTTAACCACCCAATATTCCTTCCAATAAAGTATGACTAGTTTTACTGTCATTCAGTAGAACTTCCCTTCAGTTGACGATCACATAGAACTCCAGATGCACATTTTCACTTCGTCCACGGAGTTCTAATTCTATGATGGAGGACAAATTTATTCTTCTTTTTAATTTTTATTCATTTTCGAAGGATGTATATTATAGTTTTAGTTTTAGGGGTTTTTTCTAAGTTATTTACTTTTTAAGGATTTTAGGTTTTTATATTTTTTATTTACTTCATAAGTACTATTCACGAAGAGTGTTCACATGGTTAAATTGTCATTATGAAATTTAAGTTTAAGTTGGGTCAATGTATTATGATATATAGCTTAGCATTTTCCTGACCAACTTAGCACCCTTATAGCTTTGGACACTTTTTTTTACTTGGAACATTAAATTATAATATATAATAGGTGTGTGGAGCCTTGAGGGGGCATTTCACATGCTTTTTAGAAATCTTTTTAAAAAAGAAAAGTTTAGGCTTTTAGAACCCTAGCTTGGGCTATGGAGAAGAAACCCTAGGTTTTTTTGAATTATGCTTATGTCTGATTTTACTGTTCCCTCAAATCGTCTTGCATCATTCTATGCACACCATCTTCCTCAATCTCTCAATTCTCATGGATTATTAGGTACTTCTTGGTCATTAATCTTAACTAATTCTTTGTTTGTACTCTTATTATTACTTAACTTGCATTAATACATTTTCTCTTAGTCTGAGTAATTTTAAAATATTTAGATTTTGGAGCATCTTTTCAAAATTCTAACTTTGTGTTGATGCCGTCTCTAGTCACATTAATCAAAGCTGTCATCCGCAAACATCACCAGAATAGCTCATCCTACAGATGCTTTTTTAACTCATCCATAACCAAAAGAAAGAGTTCTTGGCTCAACGCTGACCCTTGATATAGGCCTAGTGTCCCTGAAAATCATTTCTCTCCACTAGTTGTCCTCACACTAGTTTGTGCTCCCTCATCTATATCCCTCACCGTGTCAATATTTCCTCTAGAGATTCCTTTCCTGTCCGTCACCTACAGAATAACTATCTGGATAACCCTATTATATATTTTTTCTAAACTAATGAAGACCATGTGGAGTCTATTTTCTTCTTCCTAAACTTCTCAATCTATTGCCCAAGTAGGAAAATAGTCCTCAATGGTTGACCTCCTTGACATAAAACTGGACTGATTTTTTGATACACTCATTTCATGTTATAATCACTGTTCATTCAGACTCATCAATAGCTTCATAGTTTGGCTCATAAGTTTGATCCCTCTATAGTTCTTACAACTCTGTATGTCTCCATTGTTCTTATGAATAGGTACCCCAGTAATGTTTTCTCCATTTATCTGGCATTTTCTTTACTCTCAAAATCTTGTTCAATAACTTGGTCAACCAGAATATGCTAATCTCTCCCATTCACTTTCGAACCTCTATTGGTATGCTCTCTGGTCTATATTGCATAAACATGAACCTATATTGTATGGTCACACTCTCTCATGGGATAACCTTAGAGTCTTTGCAAGATGATTTTTCTACCTTGTTAACTAGAGAAAAGTCTATTTGGCTTTTAATGATCCACTTTTTTAAGTTATTAAATGACTATCTTGGTTTTTGTAGTAGGTGTTTGCCATTACTAGGTTGTAAGCCAGAGAAAATCAATACTAGCATCACCCATCACATTTCTTCACCTAAATCCATATCCTCTATGGACCCTTTCATATCCTGTACTATCTTTCCGTACATGATCATTTAAGTTCCCTCCTGAAAATGTCCTCTTTGATAGTGTATGGAACCAATACTAATGTACAATACTTATGGCAACTTTTGCCTCAATTACAGCCACTTAAAATTAAAATACAGTCACTTAAAAATACATCCATACACTCTTAAGACCAAGTATTACCACTCAATTTGGGTCCCTTTACATTCAACCAAACTATGCATTGAGATTGAGTATACAACATATAAAACTAGTGCCTTGCAAATGCATTGCCAAATTATACATGAATTTCAATTACATAACACCACAACATTCAATCTCCGAATTACAAACACAATTACGCTCAAGTGCTTAATGGATCATGATCATGGGAAGCCAATTGGAGCTCAATGTGTGCGATTTACAGCCAAGGACTTGGCAACATACCATAGAGTGATTATATGATGGCAGTTCGCAATTGGATGTGGTTTGTACAAGGCTGAGGCCCTAAACTATTAAAGTAATGAGCCCCTTCAAACAATGTCTAAACATGTTGTTTTGGTATTGGAAATCTCATCTCCAATTATAAAATTAAAAGCTTAAAAAATAGTGTACAATGACCAGATATATGAACACTTGAAAATCTTGAAAATTGAGGGCCATTGATTTGAGATGATCAAAAAAGGATAAATTGATAGCCCAGTGATGACATTTGAGAGTTTCAGCTACTGAGATTGAATTCTCTCCCAAGAGGTTCACACTTATTAAGACAAGAGTAGTATGATAAGGGCACGTTTGGTTCCTTGGATTCAAATTTCTACGAGTCACTTTTCTTAGAAAAGGCCGGGCCAATCGTGTTTGGTTTGCTTAGAATTGCCATTTATGTTGGAATTGAGATTTCTGTGGGATTCCTAAATGCTCATTTTACGCTTGAACTTTGTCTCAATTCCACCAAAATAGTTGGAATTGACATTTCATGGAGACAACCCATTTTTTCACGGACTCGTCAATGCCCTACGGTAAGTTAGATTGAACAAATTTTTTGAGGTCTGTGGGCTTCTTTAACTGTAGCGACTGAGGACCTTTCATCTGTGAATGAAAACGAAACCTAGTGGCGGTGAGAACCTCTGCCATCGGCTGCTGAAGAACGAAAACATATTAAAATTTTAGAGAGGAAAACTATGTCAAATTTTATAAAGAAAGCATATTAAATTTTTTAGAGAGAAACTATATCAAATTTTAGAGAGAGAAAGTATATGAAATTTTTTAGAAAAAAAATATCTCAAATTTTTAGAGAAAAACTATCTCAAATTTAAATTTTTAGAGAGCATCTTATAATTTTAGAGAGAAAAACTATTTCAAATCTTAAGTTTTAAAGAGAGAAAGTATCTTAAAATTTTAGAAAGAGAAACTACATTAAATTTTAAAGTGAGAAACTACTTAAAAATATTTAGAGAGAAATATCTCAAAACTTTTAGAGAGAAACTATCTCAAATTTTAAGTTTTAGAGAGAGAATATGGTAAAGTTTTAAAGATAGAAGCTATCTCAAATTTTAAGTTTTAGAGATAAACTATACCAAATTTAAGATAGAGAGTACTTAAAAATTTTTGACTAACTATTTCAAAATTTTTAGATAGAGAACTATCTCAAATTTTAAGTTTTAGAGAGGAAGTTCGTTAAAATTTTAGAGAAAGAAACTACTTGAAAATTTTAGAGAGAAACTATCTCGAAATTTAAGTTTTAGAGAGAGAAAGCATCTTAAAATTTTAGCTAGAGTAACTACATCAAATTTTAGAGTGATAAAGTACCTAAAATTTCTTAGAGAGTGAAACTATCTCAAAATTTTTAGAAAGAAACTATCTTAAATTTTAAGTTTTCGAGAGGGAAAGTATCTTAAAATTTTAAAGAGAAACTATATCATATTTTCATATGCAGAAAAAAAAAGAATAACAACTGTATCATATTTTAGAGAGAGAAACTACCTGATATTTTTTAAAGAGAAACTATTTCAAAATTTTTATAGAGAGAAACTATTTCAAATTTTAAGTTTTAAAGAGAGAAAGTATCTCAGGCAAGAAGCCTGGTTATAAACTGGCCATTGTGTCAGGAATTCGCAACGCTCGGTTCCTAGGCTCCAGTCCTACCAATGCCAGGGTAAGGGATCTCTCCACTGAGTTATGGAAAAAAAAATAAAAAAATAAAAATAAAAGAAAAAAGAAAAGAAAAAGATGGAAAATATATCAAAATTTTTGAGAGAAAAACTATATCAAATTTTAGAGAGAGTATCTAAAATTTTTAGAGAAACTATCCCAAATTTTGAGTTTTAAAGATAGAAAATTTTTAGAGAGAAATTATCTCAAAATTTTTAGAGAGAATCCCAATTTTTGAGTTTCAAAAAGAGAAAGTATATCAAATTTTGTTACCAAACCATGGACATGAAAATGATTGTAAAGAATCAATAAATTTTGTATTGTATATCCAAGCAAGAAATTTGAGGAATACATGACAAAAATCCTTGATATAAGAAACCCATAGATTTTCTTGAATTTCAAATATCCAAAATTCGTAATTTCCTCCTATCCAAATGGGTCCTAACAGTTTTCTCTCTCTTTGCTAAAGGGAGTTATATTGTAACGAATTAAAATTGGGTTTTTTGGTTCCTGCACTGTTTTCTCTCTCTAAAACTTTTTTCCCTTTGCTAGAGAGAACCT